TATGTCCCAGCTTAAGTTATGATGATGAAGAAATTAATGGAATGTCTTGTTTAATGCATGGATATGTGTTGATGCAAAAAGTGGCAGAGGGATGGGGAGGGGGAAGGAAGGCAGAGCCTGAGCGGAAGGGAGGAGGGGAAAGGGGCCATCCACCTGCCCACCCCCTGCAGCAGGCGGGAGCAGACAGCTCCAGATCTGGGCCAGCCCACTCGCTCCCCCTGAGGGGCACCCAGCTGGAAATAGAAACGCAGTCCACAAGGGTTTGTGATGTCCACAGAGGATGGACCCCAGGAGCCTCCAGAGAGGCTGCAGGGAGTTGTTCCTGACCCAGGAAGGGCAGGCCTGGCTCGCCAAACCCCTTTCAGGCAACTGGAGGGGGACACCGGCTAAGGCCATGGGGCCTTCATGGGGATGCTGAGGACATCTCGGAAAGAGAGTGGCAAGGAAGGCTCCTGTGCCCTAGCCCAGATTCCCAGCAGCCACAAGCCCCAGGACCCTCCAGGGAGGACAGTGTGCTGGTGGAGAGGAATGGCTGACAGCGGAGCAGAGACAGGGGCAGAAAGGGCACGAAAGGGGTCCTGAGGCCATAGCCAGGGTCCTGGGGACAAAGTTACAAGAAGGGCATGGAGATGGTAACCGGCTCTCCTGGTCTTCCTCCTGGTCTCATTTCTGGCTCTTCCCTCCTCTCCCGGCTCTTCCCCTGACCCCTCTGCTCTCCCTCGCCCTCACCCTCGCCCTCTCCAGTATTCTCTCTGCCTCTCCCCTCGCTCTGTCTCCGTCGTGCTCTGCCTTGTTCTTGCCCCATCTCTGCAGCCTGGCCCCACCTCCTCCCCCAGGACAGATGTGTTCCATCCTCCTCCCTCTTCAGGGCAGAATCAGGGCTGGGTGAGGCTAGCCGAGGACTAGGGGAGGGAGGGAGGTCTCCCTTCAGGCCGGGGCCACCTGTGCAGAGCCTGTTCCAGCTGAGAAATCTTCCCGACCAAGCCTGACACTTTATTTCTGCTGAGAATTAAGAAAGCACAGGGCCGTATATTATCTCCCCATCTAGCCCGGCACCTCTCTGACAAGTCCCGCAAAGGCTGTCTGGATGCTGACCACCATGAGATTATAATGGGACATGAAAAATGACCCCAGGAGCCATGGCTGCATGGGAACCAATTCAGTTCTGCTTTACCAGTCTGCCTAGAGCACCCCATAGGTGCCCAGGCCATGGCTGAGGCAGGTGGGAGGCTGGATGAGACCCCATGTCCCCACTGTTAGAAAGCCCACAGTAAAACTGGAGAGAAGCCGAGGGGCCTGTGTGTAAGGGGTGAGCCCAGCAGCACACCATGGAGGAGGTCTGCCTGCACCATCCAGGACCTGTCTGGTTGGGAGGGCTCCTGGGGTATCACAGGCGCCCAGGTGCCAAGGACAGTGGTCTGGCTGCCTATGACTGGGGTGGCCACTAGTATGGAAGGCTTCATGCACAGGGAGATTTCATTTGCCTGGTTTAATTTGCCATGGAAAATGGGACCCATCATATCAGAAATAGCTCTACCCTGGACATGCCAATGCACAGGACTCACCCCAGCTGCTCTTAGGCCCAGCTAGAGAAGACTGGCCATGAAACACAGAAGTGAGATGCCAGGGAAGGAGTCTCCTCCGATGGTCCCAGCCGTTCGCTCACACAGGATGAGGCCCCTAGGCACGTGAGGTCCTCCCGGCATGCTCTGGCCCCAGGAATGGAGGCTCCGGCCCCAGGAATGGAGGCTCCTGCCCAAGGAATGGCCTCGTCCCCCAGTTGGAACAGAGCAGCAAAGCCCGATCGGTTCTGGTTCACACCCCCGTGCCCACCCCTTTTCAGCTAGGCCTTCTTTCCATCCTTGCAGGGGAAGCCTCAATTCCCCATCTGGCTCCTTGCTTCCCTCTCTTTCCCCACACCCCACTTGCCCTCTGCCTGGAACTTTCCTGGACCATCCCAAGCCTATTCCACCTGTTCCCAGCATCTCCTGAATAAGTAGGCAGATGTCAGGAGTCCTGGGTTCATCTTGACATCCCCATTTACAATCTTTGTGACCTCAAGCTAACTTCTTAACCTCTCTGAAACTCCATTTTCTTGACTGAAGTTAGATAATCTATTTGCATACATCATAGAAGTTGTGATGATCTAGCAATGTGATGCATATATCAGCTATTCCTGTTCTCAGGGGTGTGTGGATCCTTGTGGAGGCCTGGGACACCTAAGCACCATTCCCACTTGGAAGTCAATTTCCAGCCTTGGGTATACCTTATAAACGGAAAATGAGGAGCTCCCTGTAGTCCCCTTCCCAATGGGGTTCCAACCAGGCTTCATGAACTAAGGGGCTTATTTGTTTGCTAGAGCCACCATAGCAAAGTACCACAGACTGGATGGCTTAAACAAAGGAATGTATTTCTCACAACTCTGGAGGCTGGAAGTCCAAGATCACGGTGTGGGCAGTATTGGTTTCTGGTGAGGGCTCTCTTCCTGGTTTGAAGACGGCAGCCTTCTCGCTGTGTCCTCCTGTGGTCTTTTCTCTGTGCACACATCCCTGATGTCTCTTTCTCCTCTTGTGAGGCCACCAATCATATGGGATGATGGCCTTACTCTTATAACTACATTCAACCCTAAGTACCTCCTTAAAGGCACTATTTTCAAATACACTCACAATGGGGGTTAGCGCTTCACCATATGAATTGTGGGGTCACACTTCATAACAGAAACGAAGTGGACTAGGCTTAAAGAATGAATAGCTGTCAAGAGGAAAAGGCTGTGTGGCACAGCATGGACCCTGCAGGCCCAGGGAAGGGACTTGGGGAGGAGAGTGCCGGGATGTGGGGTGGGAATGGTGCAAGAGGCAGTGGGGCCAGATTTGGGGGAAGTCAGGCAGAAAAGATACTTGATTTGATGGCCCAAAGAACCTGGCCTCAATCTCCCTTTATGGGATGGGTATTTTACTTCTTCCTTGGTCCCCCTCCTCCTGGAGCAGCTGGGGTCAAATGAGATAAAATATGGCGAAGCCAAAGGCCATTGCATGAACAACACTGTACCTACTCATTCTGGCTGAATCCCAGCTCTGCCACTCCTCAGAGATTTGTTCTTCTCATTGAAAAGATGGATATAATAATCCCTACCTTAGAGCATTGTAAAAATACATAAGCAGGAAAGCTGTAGAAATATGTCAAAGAGAACAACAGGGCTGGAACTGGGTCCAGGTCAGTCCTTAAAATCTGGTTAGGGGAGAAGAACGTCGCAGGTTTGGGGAAAAAGAAGCCTAGAAGGACAGGGCATTGCAGGAGGACAGGCACCCAAGGAAAGGGTGAGATGCTGAGTCCCAAACAGCACTGGATGGGGAACCTAGAGCAACCTGGCTCCCTCCTGGAGTCCTTCTCCCACAGCCAGATGTCTGGTTGGCCTTCTGGATCCTTCCCTCAAGGACTGGGAAGGAGCTGGTTCATGGGGAAGCCAGAAACTTCATTACGTTCCTCCTCCTTCTCCTGTGATTGGAGTTTGCTGTACCGTGCCAGTGTTCTCTGCTGCCAGGGATTGGGCACAAAGCACCTTGCTTTCCCTCAATTCCATAAGGGATGTCCAGTGGGGACCTGGTGGTGAACAATGACACCACGGCACCATCCCCTGCCGCCTCCGGCTACCTGTGCCTCCTTCCTTGTCGGCTGCGTCCTGCCTCCCGTCTCTGTCCTTCCCGGCTACGGCTCTGCCCTTCCCATGGCCTCGTGCTCACCTTGCTGAGTCACAGGCACCCATACTCCCCCACCCAGTTGTCTTGACGCAGCCAAAACTCACTTCAAGTCCTAGACCAGAAGGCAGGAGGACGCTTGTGACTGGCTGGTCCAGCCGCTTGCTGTACGGGAGGGAATTGGCAACGGAAGGTCTCAGGGCGCAGGACAGACAGGCAGAAATCACCCTGCAGGCCCCGCTTCCCAGCCGTGCCCTGCCACACGGTGGCCTTGGGAAGCACCTGAACACCTCTTGGCCTCAGTCTCTCCATCTCTAAAATGGGGGTGTTTACCTGCCCTGTTGCCTCTGAGTCTAGAGTTTGTGAGAGAAATGCAGATGCAAGAAGGGCTCAGGGAGGTGCGTAAGGGCAGGAGCATTGGTGGAGACATCAAGTCCAAGTTCACTTGCGTGATCCTCCTCACGTTTATTGCTTAAAACACGCTGGGACCTCCGCCCTGGAGAGCCCACCTTCGTGCCCCCGGGTGAGATGAGAAGCCAGGCAGTGGAGCCTGGGATGCTTGGAGTCCAGAGACCCCTAGTGGCAGGAACGGGCCATTGACACGGATCCCCAGGAGGGAAGAGAGAGGCCGGCAGGCAGGGGAGTCAGGCCTTGCCCTCCTGTCCTCCTGGCACCCAGACATCACAGGGGACGAATAGCTGTGCCCACTCCACGCGCTGCCTGAGAGGACAACCCTGGCTACAACCTGGAGCCCCAGCCCTGAGCTCTGCTTTAACCATGGAGCTGGGCGGCCTGGGGCCTCAGCCACCACTTACCCACAGGCCACGTCTGCCAGCTGGCATGGGTTGGGGTGAAGCTGGATGCCCTGGCCTGGGTGGGGTCCATCTGCAGCCAGCAACCAGCTCATCTCCATAAAGGCAGATGTCTGGAGTGAACTAGAGCTGAGCCAAAGGTGTGCTTTGGGGACACAAAGGCCTTGTGTGACACAGAGAGACAAGGCCAGCGTGTCCGTCAACCTCAGAATCTGATAACAAAGGCTCGCAGGAGCTGCTCGGAGTCAGAGGAGGAGGCACCCCAAGCTCTTCCATCCAGAGACACCCCCCGAAAGAAGGGGGCTTTGGGCTTATGCATCGAGGTGAGATGGGCCGAGTTTTGGAAAGGTGTGTGCACCTGCAGCAGCATGTGGGAGCGCGTGTCTATGGGTGCAGTCTGCAGCGCTGCATCCACCTGTGCACCTGAGCGTTGGGTGTCTGTCCCCTCATCCCCAGGCCTGCTATAACACTGTCCCCCTGTGCTCTGTTGCAGATGAACCGGCCGATCCAGGTGAAGCCTGCGGACAGCGAGAGCCGAGGAGGTAGTAGCTGCCTGCGCCAGCCCCCTTCACGTGAGGGCCCACTTGTCTCTGCCCCCCTCCCCCTCTCAATCCTCCCTCCTTTTCCCGATGCAGCCATGCGATGCAGCGACTCCCCGCCTCCTCCTCTTGCCCCTCTGGGGATCTCGTGGCTGAGGGTTGGGGAGAGAACTTTGGAGCTCTGGGTGACTGGTGTGGAGAAAGAGAGGAGGGAAGGGGGGCAATTGGGGTCTTCCAGATGGTGGGGCTTGTGCCTCTCTGAGTAAAGAAGTGCCTTGTCCCGCGGCATTCTTCTCCCCTCCGTTAAAACACCCAAGAGAGTGTGCCCACCTGGGTGTTGCCAAGGAAAACCCCACCCTGATGGGACTCGTGCAGTTGCAAGGGAGGCAGGAAGTGGTCACAGCTGTGCCATAGGAGGATTCAGGCCACAGGAGGCAAATCTGAGTGGCCCACGAGGGTGTGGGTACTCAAAGCCAGCACTGAGGCAGAGATTCTGGAGATTGAGATAGGCAGTTGGGCAGATGTCTGGAAAGGGACAGAGGGGAAGGACACGGCCTCACTCCACAGACGCTTGCCCCAGAACATGGACTCACTGGAGCCTGGCCGTGGAAGGCCTGGGTGAGGGAATGCCCCACCTTGAGGCTCAGCCCTGGAAGGACCAGGCAGATGGCCAGCCAGGAGCAGCTCCACCCCCAAATGACAGCGTCCTCCTGGTGCAGTGCCTGCGTGGCTGTACTGCTACCTCTCACCCCAGCCCTGGGGGTGATTGGGGCCCACCCTGGGCACAGCACTGTCCCTAGGCTCCTCTAGATAAGATTCGAACATACTCTGACATTAAAAGAAAATGAAAGGAGAGGACATGACAAAGAATATTCATCTAGCATCCAAGATCAGGTGTCCCCAACCCAGGCACCAGCTCCTCCCCCAACAAACTGCCCCCGTGATACGGAGCCCATCGCACCTCACTTGTGGGAGAGAAAGAGACTCACCAGCCCCATAGGGTAGAATAATGTGCAGGCACTGCCAGGTGCCCCCTTCCTGGCCCACCGCCTTGGGGAAGGGGGATTGTCCTTCCTGATCACCAGCCCCTGGGCACTCACACTGGGCGCCATTCCCACTGGGCCCTGCTCAGAAGCTGCTCTGAACTGAGCTCTCAGCCACTTCTCCGGGTAGGTGGCCAAACGGAGGCTCCTCCAAGCAGGCGAAGGAACCCCAAGGAGAGACTCTGTCCTCTCTACCAGCAAGGGGCCCCAGCCTGAGTTCCCATAGAAGCGCAGCCAGGCAGTGAACCAAGCAGCCATACAGAAGTGGGACACTCGCAGAGGACAGACAGGCGATGGCTCCCTCCCTCCAGCCTCCTCCCACAACAGAGAGACCTTGGAAAAATTGAGAACACCCATGAGGCCACCAAGGGGAGCATAAGGAGTTGGGGCCTTTTATTTGCCCTGAGACAGTCACATCGGGTATAGTCTCCAAGTTGGCCCCAACCTACCCTTTTTCCGGCCAGGGTTGGGGTGTCCAGCATGAGGGCCCTGGTAGTGAGATGGGACAGCCAGTCGCAGCTGTCCTACACCTCCCGGCCAGGAGCTCTTGACTTCTTCTAACCCCACCATGCTCTGGGCTCTGGCCTGGGTGTCCGTGTCCATCACGCTCCCCCTGCCCAGGCCTGTACCCAGTGCTCCGGGTTTCTTCCTGCTTGTCACATCAGCCAGGAACTAAGGAATTTCTCTCTCCCTTGTCTCCTCAGAAAGTTTACTGGGAAATTAAGGGCAAAAAGTCAAGCAGGCGAAAGCTACTTGCAGGTTTGGAGAGCTAATTGTCCTGGAAGGAGCTGCAGTGTGGCTGCTGGTGACCTGCTCAGCCCTGGAGCCTGGGCCTGCCCAGAACTCAGGACCCCTCCCAACCCAGACCTCAGGTCCTATCCCCCAGGGCTTGGGCTGGTGTCTTGGTGTTGCCTGAAGGGACCCCGTGCCCCAGGGTACAGACACACCTCCTGACGCCCACTGAGTGCTCAGCCCTAAGGACCTGGGTAGTGAAGGTCCAATTGGTTGAGGGGTAAAGATGCTTTAGGCGTGAGGGGTCCATGCGAGTGAAGCCCACCTGGTTTGTGCTGCCTGCTCCTGTCCCTTCCTTGGCAGTGAGAGGAGCACCATCCTCAGCCTCACCCGGGGCTCATGAGGCACACGGCAGTGCGAGGAAGGGCATCTTCTGGAGACCAACAGCCACCTAGGCACACAGTGACTCACCTGCAGCCCTCAGTCCACACGGCCCGGCCAGGAGGCAGCGGCGCGGGGAAGCTCTCGAGGATAGGCAGGAAGCTGGGGCAGCAGGTGCCAGCCGCAGTTCTGGAGAGGGGATTCCCAAGGTGGGGGCTGCCAGAGGCCTTGGGAGAGGTGGCACTTCTGCCCTTGAAGGTGCGGGATCCCACAGCTGGAGAAGGGGGGATGGCATGAACAAGGACCACAGAGCCAGGCCTCTGAGGGCCACAAGGAGGTGCCATCTGGCACAGAGCAGCAGGTCAGAGTCTGGTTTTCTCCAGCGTGGCTGGAGAGGGGTATCTGGAATCCCCTCTGCCCAGCAAGGCCATCCGGAGCTCTAACTCAAACCTTTCTCTCCCAGAGCTTGCCTCGGAGGCAATAGCTCTCTGACACCAAGATGCTAACCTCATCGGCTTTCCCCTATATATCTCCTGCGGCTGACACTTGCCCCAAACCAGATTAATCAGCTCCTTTATTCTTCTCGCAGTAGAAAGTAGGGGGGGAGCCAAACCTAAACATCTATCCATTAATTGCATATTCAGTATTAAACAGCGAGATGGCCCTGAGTCAGCACTATCACCAAGCTATTTTTTTTTAAGAAAGTTAGTTTAAAATAATTTAATAGCCATTAAATACTTCTGGGGAGAAGGAGAAGGAGGAGAAGTGAACATTTTAAAAAATTAAAGAAATGGGCAATAGGAGAAGGGAACGGAAAGAAGGGATGGGAGAGGGATGGAGGAGGTGGGTGATGGCAGCGGGCAGGAGGAGAGGAGAGAAGGAGGTGAGAAAAATAGACAGGTGAGGGGAGAAGAAGCAGGAGTGGGGGTGGGGAGAGAGGCCTTGAAAACAGTGGGTGATGGAAGACTGGGGCACAGTGGTGCAGGGGAGGGGAGCAGAAGCAGGCAGTGGCCACAGAGGGAGAGAGAGGGTCAGCCCCAGCCCTGGCTCAGCAGTGAGCCGGGTTACAAGTCCCCAGAGCCCAGAGGACACAGGACACCTGTCCCCATCTGCCTGTCCAGGTGCACTTGAATGCTCATGAGCAGCACAGAAAGATGTGTTTTCTGCTTAGGATTTGGGGAACGTGCAGGGGTCTTTGGCCAGGGGACAGGGGGAAGGCTTCTCTCCACCTCACCCAGCACAAAGCTGGCTGCAGCCCCTTGCACGGCCGTAACCTGGTTCCGCCTTCTCATCCCCCACCTCAGGCTTCTAGACACATGCCCGATCACCTCCACCACACGCGTGAGGTATAGGGGTGTCTGGGGATGGGCCTGGGCAGCGTGTTGGCAAGTCAGTGTGCACAGGAGCGCTTTTTAACTTTCCTGTCTCTGACACACATGGATTGCTGGCTGAGGCTGACTGGCCACTGTCAGGAGTGATTCAGGGAGGTCAGTTTTTTTTTTTTTTTTTTTTTTTTTTTTTTTTTGAGATGGAGTCTTTCTCTGTTGCCCAGGCTGGAGTGAAGTGTTGTGATCTCAGCTCACTGCAATCTCCACCTCCCAGGTTCAAACAATTCTTCTGCCTCAGCCTCCCGAGTAGCTGGGACTAGAGGTGTGCACCACCACTCCCAGCTAATTTTTGTATTATTAGTAGAGATGGGGTTTCACTATATTGGCTAGGCTGGTCTCTAACTCCTGACCTCATGATCTGCCCACCTCAGCCTCCCAAAGCGCTGGGATTACAGGTGTGAGCCACCACGCCCGGCCTCAGTTCTTTTTCCTCTGGTGTGAGGGCAGTGGCAGCCTTGCCTCTGAATGGGTTGGAGTGGAGATACAGGTACAGAAGGAAGTAGAGCTGGCTAGGTGCTTGGCTGGAGCACCCAGGAAGAGCACAGGATGCAGTTCTTGTTTCAGTGGAAGGTTCTTGTCTGGAATGAGCTCCAGCTTGGCACGCCTCCGTCTCTGGGCCTCCATCTCCCCACACGGGGGCTCAGGAGTCATTATCCATAAAGCAGCTGTTTACAGAACACTGACTGAGGGCTGGGGATTTTATGGAAATATGTTTTTTTAATTGTTGTTTTTTGTTTTTAAGATGGAGTTTCGCTCTTATCAGTCAGGCTGGAGGGCAAGGCACGATCTTGGCTTACTGAAACCTCCGCCTCCTGGGTTCAAACGATTCTCCTGCCTCACCTTCCCGAGTGGCTGGGATTACAGGCGCCTGCCACTACACCCAGCTAATTTTTATATTATTAGTAGAGATGGGGTTTCACTATGTTGGCCAGGCTGGTCTTGAACTCCTGACCTCAAGTGATCTACCCACTTCAGCCTCCCAAAGTGCTGGGATTACAGACATAAGGCACTGTCCCTGGCTGGTAATTTGTTTAATTTATACAGCAACCTCAAGGTATGGATGTTCTTGACCCCACTTAAAGGTACAAACCAAGGCACAGAGAGGCTAGATAACTTGTTCCAGGGTACACAGCCAGAAAATGGCAGAGCCAAAATTCCAACTTCTACATGTTAGCCATCAGAACCCAGGTTATGTGTATTCCTGTCACTCCCAGGAGGGCTTCTCAGACTGTGTGGCTCAGGGGCAGTGGGAAGGCACCACAGACATGTCTCACCTTTAGGTCCATTCTCAAGGCAGCTGAGGTGAGAGGAGCAGGGTTCCAGGTGAGGAAGGCAGGATGAGGCTGGACAAGGAGCTCCCAGACCTACCCATGAAACATGAAAGACCAGGGCAGGAATGGGTCAGAGAACAAAGAACTCACTGTGGCCTGGAGCAAGCAGGAAGGGCTTCCTGGGGGAGGTGGGAATTAGATCAAGAGGTATAGAGCTG